TTTTAAACAAGTTTTGAAGTTGATATTTACTGCGCATGTCAGGTCCTGTGCACGTTTAAGTCGACTCATAAGTCGACTTATGATATGTTGTGCAGTTAGATTTTTTCGTCTGCTGAGTCGACTTATAACTCATACAAGTCGACTTATAAAGACATAAGTCGACTTATACCTGTCATAAGTCAACTTATAATATGACCGTTACATAGTAACAACTATTTTTTAGATTTTGTTGTTTTGTACTTTTTGTTGGTTTTAGCTGGTTTCTCGGGGTCCCTATATATACCACATACCCTCTAACTTCTGAGTTAACCTAAGAAAGTTTTAAAACAAGTTTTACAAGTGTTTAAGGGTGTTTAATAAGTTTTTCAAGTCTGTTTTGTGTGAAGAAGTTTTCACAAAGAGGAGGCTTACATTTTCGGTTTGAGGAATTCAACATCATCTCTTCATCTACATCTCTTTGTGATTTTGGAGAAGTTTTCTCAACTCAATTATCTAGCTTGTTTATACTTAAATTGTTATATTTATATTTGCTAGATTAATTCGAGTTTGATTTCATTTTACTCTTTGATTGTACACACAACCTATTGAGTTTTTAATATTATTATATTAAGTATAATTTGGGTTGTGATGAGTGTATCATTAAAAGTGATCTTATATTGTATTCTCATCTTGTTTAGAGAACAAACCATTTGTTATTGTGCTTAATTGTGAGATACACTTTGTAATACACTTTTACACCAAGAGAAGTGTGTGGTGAGAGACGGGATCGATTTTAAGAGGAGTGAGGTCGGTGGTAAAGGCTAGAGAGAGGTGGTAATTCCGAGCACTTGAGGAAGGCGACACTGACTCGATCAACACTTAGAGGGTGTAGAGTGTGATTGCAAGAGTGTGAGTTGTGAAAGTTTTCGGTGGGCTAGAAAACCGAGATTGTGAGGTGTAAACGTTTTCGGTTAGCGTTGAAAACTGGTTGAGATAGTGGAGTTCTCCTTGAGAGTGGGAAGCGGAGACGTAGGTCGGAAGGAACGAACTCCATGATCATTTTCTTGTGTTTGCATTGGTTATTTGCCCGCTATATTGTTCATATTGTTTCATGTCTATTTCACCCTTGTGTTAATTATATATTTTTGCTCATAATTTGTTGAATATCTCCCTTTCAAGAATAAATTAGTTAATAAGTTTATATATATAGAGAGAGAGAGAGAGAGAGAGGGAGAAGTGTTCCTAAGTTGACGCCTTAGATAATCATCTAAGGATGTGGCCTAAAATCACATGATTGAGCTACATTGTGGATGATCTGCTCCGTTGAACTTGATCTATATATTCTTAAACCCCAACACACCAAGTTTGGGGGTGAACCCGTCATCGTTTGACCCTTCATCCACTCATATCAATTTTAACGGTTTCGAATGAATAGAACTTTTCACATGGCTCGACGAAGGGTCAAACGACGATGGGTTCACCCCAAACTTAGTGTGTTGGGGTTTTAGAATATGTAGATCAAGTTCAACGGAGCGGATCATCCAAGTATACAGAAGATATACTATGATAGTGTCCTTTCTCTTAAAGAAGTGTCTAAAGTGATGTGTTTCTTTATGCGTCGCCATTTCCCTCTGATCGAATAATAATCGAACTGTAGTCCTTAACTGCTGAATGTAGTTAATTGTGTTTTGAGTCAGTCTCCAGTGGTTATCAAGGGAATACATTTTCTTTTTTCCTTCTGCTTTAAGTTGCTTAGATTGGAGCCTTATTGTAACTCAAGGCAAAGTAAACTTTTATATTATAGAGGAAGCAAAGTACAAAACATATTTTTTTACCAACGACATGCAAAAATGCTGCTTATTGAACCCAACAATAGGGGAAATATATAGAGATCATTAGCATTTGCCAACCGTCCTAGTTATTGTCCATCCAAAACTGAGCTTGGAGCCAGTCCACTAACTTCTTATCAATCTGGAATGCCTTGGCTAGAACATCATCGGAAATAGGAGGCTTTGCTCCAAAAACTGCATTAGCTATCGTGATCACACCTGGGTTCTGGCTACCAAGTCCTGCAATCGCGATAGCATTTGTGTAACCGGTGTTAAACTGAAAGTGAATGAGTCCTTGAGGGAACACAAACACATCACCCTTGTTGAGGACTTTAGTGAAGAGTTTGTTATCGGGGTTTGATGTCACAAATCCGACGTAGAGCGTTCCTTCTAGCACTGTTAGGATCTCGGTTGCACGTGGATGAGTGTGTGGCGGGTTGAGCCCATAGGGTGCAAAATCAAGTCTTGCCAAGGAGATGCCGAGAGTATTGAGGCCTGGTAAGTTAGCTGCACTGACCAGCGTTACTTTTGATCCCAGACGGTTGCTTGTGTTGCCAGGCATGTTAAGGCCGGAGAAGAAGAAATCGTCAGCCAGTGCCAGTTTTGGGTCCTTGCAGACTAACCCATTCACAAACACTGCAATATAAACATAACAAAAATTAGAGGCAGGCATACTACTTATAATACAAAACAAATTAAAAAGTTGAAGTACCATGAGACATATCATCGGCAACGCAGAAGTCCTGCAGTTGACTAGGATCAGAAGCCGTTGCAAGAGAGGAGGTGAGGGCGAGGAGGGTAAGAAAAAGGATATGATAAGCCATTTCAGGAATGAGAAATTAAGCTTTGGTTGATGTGATATAAATGGATGCTATCCTGGGTATTTATAGAGTGAAACTTCACATTTGTTGTCTAAAATTTTGGTAAGGATGCATTGAAGTGGTCTGTTTCTCTGTTCAGAAGGTAGAAAGTGTCTATGAGGTTAGGTAATATCTTTATTAGTCTACCTCTTATGTTGGAAAACTTCTTTTTGAGTTGATTTTTCCATAAGAGAGAGTCTCTTTTTTACATATGTTTAATGCATTAATTTTCATTTTAAACACGAATTAGTTTGTGAAGAAATATTTCATTAAACAATGGTTGTGGAATTACTTATTGTAGAAAGGTTTAGTAAGGTAGGGCCTGATGGAAGAAGAGCTCGTAAGAACACCAGATGAAAGATTTGGAAGAAGATTAATAGGGTTAGCGACAGAAAAAACAAAAAAAAAAAGTTCATTCATTTTCTATATTGGCTGTGTCCCTCGAAATTTCAAAAATTGCTTTACGATTTATGATGCACTTATCTTTCCCAAAATAAATAAAATAACATAGAAACGAAGGACATGCATAATTATTTTGTTGGAAACATGTGCATATAAATCTTTGAAAAGCAAAATTAGATGGTTACACTTGAGAAGCAGACTTAGACAAGTACCCTTCATTTGCCAGACAATCATTTAATAAGCTAGGCCATTTATTTCTGCTAAATTCCTTTTAGTGATATATTTTGCGAGCGTTTGTTACGAGCTTTAAACTTTAAAACTTGTAGACCCGTCCAGCAATTTGATCCGTGCAGGTTTTTTCGCATGAATTGTTGAAGTATTTGTTTGTGATGAACAAGATCACATGTTTTTCTGACCAACTTAAGCAACTGGTTATCGAGTCAATCCTTACTCAACTGGTTATGGAGTCAATCCCTTTGTGTCTTTGTTTGGCAATTGCAGATCCAATCCGAGTTGTTATGGACTCTCAGTTCGTTGTGGTTTTCTATTGTTCCATCTGCCCACGTTTGGATCCAATCCGAGTTGTTATGGACTCTCAGTTCGTTGTGGTTTTCTATTGTTCCATCTGCCCACGTTTGATGAAATATGTTTTCAGTGTATATTTCCTTACTTTAACCCTACCTTTGACAGGGCAAATCATGACATATCGTTTCCTGCTTTCTTATGTATCTATTTGTTGTTTCCCAAAAACATACATATTTTTCTTGACCTTAACCACTCTTTTTTTTTATTGGGTATTGACCTTAAGCGCCCTTTATTTATTATCACCATTAAGATGACATAATTTTTTTTTCACAAACAAAATCCACTGTGTCCTTGTGCCTTTGTTTTATTTTATTTTCATTTTGACAAGTAAAATTTTGAGATAGTAATTCAATTGGACCTTGTACCCAGGATCTTTTCTTATTGTTGTAGTCAACTACAGTTTGATTGTTGTCAATGAACAATAACAACTGGTTCTTTGGGCACTTAGACACAAAAAGCGCTATTGATAATATACTTTGAATATGGTCCTTTTCTCTTTAAAGTGTCTGAAGAGATAATTTCTTTATGCGTCACCATTACCCTATGAATAGATAACCACCGGTGTTTGGTATTTGTAGCCCCTAACTGCTGAATGCAGTCAATAGGCTTTTTAAGGCAGCCTTTACTGGTTTCAACATGCAGATGTGGACTTAGTAAGCGAACACGAGGAGAGGGGAAAATATCAAGTTATTAGGTGGGATTTACAGGATACGAACTTTTCTTTCAGTGCAAACTTACTGATTATATATTCCTTAAAAATCTTTGTCAGCACAAGTGGTTGTGAAAAAAAAAAAAGTATTTCAGATCTTAAACTTTAATTTCATGCACTAGCATTTATATGCAAAACGCAAGAGTTAGAGGATTAATTTCTGGTTACATGAATAGATTGAACTGAATTGTGTGCATGCTCGGTTACTTTTATCAATGAACCTTTTCTTGAATAACATTTTTCTTGAAGTGAATAACTGAGGTAAACGGATATTCATTCTTCAGAATAACTAGTTAATATGTGATAAAATGTAAATTTTTTTCTTCTCCTTTTTCTTTTTACAAGGATTTGCGCGGTGAATTGAGAAATGTGCTCTTCTTCTTCATCTAGTTGATTTCTATCTTACAGGCTACTAGAAGTCTTGTGAATATTTGTTTATTTTTTAAAGTTAGTAATGCCAATTCAATGACATGAGACTGAAGGACTCTCAAATGTTGGTTTTTCTTCTTGCAACTAATAGTTGTTTCTTTTTTATTATGTAGAGTATTTTTGTGCTTTTGAGACTTTAGGCATGGCTGGTGACATATAGGTTTACTTTTTGTGTTTATTAGCATTGTTCACGCAGTCATCTACTCTGATGGTTTAGAGCTCTTTCAAATTAATTAAATGCATACCACGTAATTATCTGGCAACTAAATTTTCCTTTCTTATAGGTTTCTAGCTGCTTGCAAACAAATCTCAAAATAATTTCATCTGTTTTTCATGGGCCTTACTAGTCATCATCAACAAATAAGGAGCCAATTCCTCTTCTTTCAAATCCTATTAGATGATAAGACTGAAAGTTGCCGAATGTTGTTTAAATTTCTGGAACAAGGCTCTGAAGCAGTCATTTTCTCATGTTCAGAAGTTAGAAGTGTCCATGGGATTAGGTAAGTATTACTTTACCTCTTAGTTTTTAAAGTCTCTTTATTATACATGTCTGATGCATTATTCTCTTTTTAAACAGGAATTCGTTGGTGAAGAAAGGATTAGTAAGGGAGTTGTTGAAGAGGTGAATGTGACATTTTAATAGGAATTAGTAAGAAGAAAGGATTAGTAAGGGAGTTGTTGAAGAGGTGAATGTGACATTTTAATAGGAATTAGTAACCACTAGGAACTTTTGAACAATGCAGAGTTGTTGAAGAGGTGAATGTGACATTTTAATAGGAATTAGTAACCACTAGGAACTTTTGAACAATGCTTCAATTAATTCATAATGCATGAACATGGTATCTCTTTGAATGTCGGATTAATAAAATTGACTTGCTGATGTCTTTAATAAACAATCTTTTTTCTTTGAGGACAAGCTAAGTCAATGGTGTAAAAGCACCATTTAAGAGCGACCTCCATGGCTGCTCTTGGACTGGCTCGTCCCAAGAGTTCCATAGCAAACATGAGCTAAGTCAATGGTGCAAAAGCACCATTTAAGAGCGACCTCCATGGCTGCAATTGGACTGGCTCGTCCCAAGAGTTCCATAGCAAACATGTGTGTTTGTCAATAACACACCGATGAGTGATGGCTAATGCTTAATAGGATAAATTCAGATAGGTCGGCTTATAGGTGCTTAGTGCTTAATAGGATCAATCCAGATAAATGTCATGTGGGTATGTAACATGTAGGGGTGCAAACTGTTCGGATACGGCTCGGATATGATACTTACCATAACCATAAACGCGAAAATCAGATGCGAATATTGGTATATATGCGGATGTATATGTGTATATACATGCGAATAGAAAACGACATGAGAAAAGCCGAGTCTGTCACCACCTCGACTAGAAAACGAGGAGAGGGGAAAATATCAAGTTATTAGGTGGGATTTACATCATTCAAAGAAAAATGAAAGTGAAGGCGAGAAGCAGAAAGAAGTCGAGTCTGTCACCACCTCGACTAGACGCTATCCTAAAAGAAAGAGGGTCGAGGAAAGCCAATCAGAGTTCGTACCCAGGTTCGCTGCTGATCAAACGTCACAACGACAGCCGTGGGAGCGATCGCCACAACAGTCACTTCAGATGCAACGATACTCTTTCAAGGATGATGAAGTTCCAGCCATCCTCAAGTACCTCCTAAAAAACCACATGGGGTATTCTTAGGGATAACCCAGTCACTGTAGAAGTGATGAATAAGAAATCCACGTTCGAACTCTGAATGTCGGAATGTTTCTTCTTATTGTCAAATTCTCTAACTCTCATGAGTTATTTTGGTGAGATGAGATCCAATCCTTTAACAGGTTAATCTTTCCTCACCAAATCACCCGCTGATCAAATTAATCAACGAGAGATTCACCAAAATTTCTATCCGCCAGTCACTGGCAATTCTTAGACTCAACATGTTAGGTCCTAATCACTTAACATTGAAGTCCCCCTGGGAGTGATAGTACGAGTTGGTATTTTCATTGCTACCTGTATTTCACTTTCTTTGTTTTCAGGTCAAACATATAAAAGTTAGGGCCAAAGCCAAATTCCTCTCTCGATTCCTCCCGTGAACGAGAGGTCCACTTTCAGTTCGGACAATCAAACCTATAAAAGTTAGGATTGTTCCCGATCTCACTTAGTCAAATCTACAAATAGTTAGGACTAAGACCGAATCATTCCTTTTCGATAAACGAAATTCTACCTTTGTTCCTTTTCCACCAAACCTATAAAAGTTAGGGTCGAAATTGGGCTTTCTCCTTAATGAATGAGGGATTCTTTTGATTCAAATGACTAATCCTATAAAAGTTAGGGTCGTTCGAACCTTTCCGATTCTCGGAGTGGAGATCCCACTCTTAGTTTCATCCTTTCGGATTCTGGGGGTGGAAATCCCACCTTGAGTTTCCTTTCCGACTGTAGATAGAATATAAAATTCTTCCTCTTCAGTCCCGGGAGATAGAATATAAAATTCTTCCTCTCCCGCTTCCCAGTCCGTCTTTGTTCTGATAAAAGACTCAATTCCCAACTTCCAATCCGAGCACTTGGTGCACGGGGAATTTTATCTCAACTCCTAAATAGAGATAAGTCTACGCCTAATACGCGTTGTCGGTTTAGTCTTTCACCGATTGAAAAAGACACCAAGGTCTACACCTGGGGAATTTTGTCCCGAAGCCTAAGTAGGGACGAGTCAACACCTAATACGTGTTGCCGGGTAGCCTGTTCCCGTAACAAAGACGAAGCCTATGTATTCGGCATCATAGCACAAAGCCTCAGAGAATTCACTCTCTTAGCACAACGTTACATGCGGAACGGATTTAGACAATCCGCATGCTAGCCCGATTCAAACGGTAATCGGTAAAGGCACATCAAACCCGTTGAAGGCTGGGGGTTTGCCAAAAATCCCAAAGTCTATGTCTAACACACATTGCCGGTTTAGTCTTTCGCCGATTGAAAAAGACACCAAGGTCTAAACTTAGGGAATTTTATCCCGAAGCCTAAGAAGGGATAAGTCGTCGTCTAATACGCGGCGCGGGGTACCTTTTCCCTATAAGAAATGGTTAAGTCTATGTATTCAAAGTCATAGCATCAAGCCTAAGAAAAGCAATTCTCTTAGCACAACGTTACATGTGAGACGGGTTTTAATAATTCACATGCTAGCCCGATTCAAACGGTAATCGGTAAAGGCATATCAAACCCGTTGATGGCTGGGGGTTTGCCAAAAATCCTGTAAATCTTATCATCGCTGAGTTCAAAATAAATAAAGAAATACCATAAAGGAATCAAATGCGGAGTCTCTATTAATAGATCAAGTCAAAGCATACAATAAAAAGCTCGTTAGCCCGAAGGCAGCTGACGGCTAAGGACATGAGACTCTAAACTAGAAAGCCTATCTATATAACTCTGCTCAAGCTCTGCCTGCAGACCAGCTCGGACGGATTCTTCAGAACTGCTCAAGATCTCCACGGCTTCATCCTTCAACTTCATCAATCTCTCCTGTGTGGATCCTAGCTTCTCGAGTGCCTGTCCACGAGAACGCTCTAATCCAGCCAGTTCTTCTGCAATAATAGTGACGGACTCCTCGGCGTGCTTCAAGGCCTCCTTCAACCTAGCCACTTCCTCGCGACTGGAATCCAAAGAGCTGAGTAGCCCGGCTCTATCTATATCCTTCCTCGCCACAGTAGCCATCAGCTGCGCAATGGAGGTGTAAGACGACACAAGATCGCCCCAATATACCAGAAGACTTGAATTGGCTAAGCGAAACAAGTCCGAAACCTCAACCCCCGCGAAGGAGGGTGTCGGCCCTTCTCGAATGACCCGCGAAAGGGCCAAACGAGGATGTAACAGAACCACCAATATCCTAAAACCTCAATCCCCACGAAGGAGGATGTCGGTCCTTCCTTAATGACCCGCGAATGGATCAATCAGGGATACAGAAATAAAGATTCTCACCCCCGAAAAAGGATGCCGCTGGAGGGGAGGATACTGTGGGAACTTCTTCCTCGCTAGGCTGTGAACGGGAGCGACTCCTAGGAGGTCGAGGTCGACGTGGCGACATCGAAAACCTGCAATGAAAAGCAGCAAGTCAGGTACAATCTAAAATATGAATACACGAAATTTAAAAGGGAAATTAAGAACTTGAACTAAAGTCCTATGAATAAATAGGATTTTATAGTTGAAGTCTAATTAAACCTACAAATTTCGTGCATACCAAATAATGATTGTCATTTTACGGTAAATTTTGGTGAAATACCTAAAATACCCCTCGTGTTCAAGGCTAAATTCAGGTCAAGGATACGCTCGAATTGGGTCACGATCATGATATTTGATCATCTAGCACCCCCAATTTTGGTTAATTTTGCAAATAAACCTTTTTTGTAAAATTTAGCCGATTTTGCAAATAAACCCCTCAACAACTTTTGGTCCTCTTGCATAAAGCACCCCCTCAAATTTTCGACCAAATGGACATGTAATCCAAATCCTAATTTCAGTCCTTTATTACATGAACACCATCTCAATTCTCAGACCAATTTTGCAAATAAGCCCCCAAAAAAGATTTCGGCCCATATTTACACATAAAACCCTCAATAATTTATGGTCTTTTTGCATGAAGCACCCCTCAAAGTTATGGCCAAGTGGGTCTAAAGTCCAAGCCTCAAAATTTCAGTCCCATTTTGCATAAAGGCCCCTATAAATTTCAGTCCACTTTTGCATAAAAGTCCCCCAAAATTCGGTCATATTGCAAGTTTTGCATAAAACCCCCAAATACTTCATGCATACACAACCCATCATCAAAAAATTCTATCTTTCCACAAAATCCAACCTATAAGAACAAAAAGCTATGATCTTTATCAAAAAAAAAGGGGGGGGGGGGGCCCAAAACCAAGAAGTCTCTCTTGAGCTTGAAGATGAAGAACCCTAGCTTTGAGGAGAGGAGAATTTCGGCCAAGGGGGAGCACCAAAATCCGAAATTGTTTTGAGTTTAAAAGGGGAATTTTAATGGGTTTCTTAGAGGGAAACAATGGTGTATGGAGGGAAGGAAGAAGAAGGAGTTTAAAAGAAGAAAGGATTCTCTTTTGAAAATTTGGAAAGAGGGGGGGAAACAAAAGAGGAAATAACAAAAAAAAGGAAAGTTCAAAAGAGGAAATAACGAAAAGAAGGAAAGAAAAGCAAAAAAAAGAAAAAGGGGGGGAAAAGTCTCGGCCTTGGAACCGAGACACCCTAAGGTGTCTCGGTTTGGCCGAGACACCCCAAGGGTGTCTCGGCCAACCCAGTTCGAGCCCCCCCGACCCCTTTTCGAGTCCGAATTTACCTATTTTCATCGGTTATTGGATATTTCGACGAAATCCACACTAATCAATACCGAGCAATTCAAAACCCTAGGGTCAACGCCGGTCAACGCGTAACCCTAGGTCAACGCCAGTCAACGCGTTGCGACCAAAAAGTCAATGTTTGACGTTCGAAACCCTAAGGTTAACGCCGGTCAACGCGTAACCCTAGGTCAACGCCAGTCAACGCGTTGTGACAAAAAAGTCAACGTTCGACGTTCGAAACCCTAGGGTCAACGCCGGTCAACGCGTAACCCTAGGTCAACGCCAGTCA